ACTGAACACAAAATTCTAAGTGCTTTCACATCAAAGATCTGTATAAGGGGAACAAGTTTGCTTTTCTGTTCCATTCCTAATTATGCCTAGCATGGAACGTGCCTTTTTCACAGCAGCTTCCTTGATACTGGTCATTCCTTGAAGTGTTTATTGCTATGATAACTGAATACAGAACTACAGAAGATATGTGATTAATTGATTCATTGATTGCATTTATCTTATGCTTCTTCTAAGGAACTTAGGGTGGCATTCATGGCCCTGTTCCCATTTTATCTGATCAAAAGCCTTCTGTGGTAGGTTACACTGAGAGATGCCTGGACCAACTTCACAGAGTAAGCTGCATAAATAAGCAGAGTGATAGGCGGGGGGAGTGTAGGTGTAGGAAATAACAGAAGTTCTTAAATAGGTCTTTCGATCAAAGCACATACATAACTCATATTCTAATAACCATAATCTGGAATTTCTAGAAAACTATAATATTTTTGACTGTTCCACAAAAGCACCTCGATTGAGATCTCTGCAGTATAATATCTGGAAATGGAATAAAAAAAGTTTATTTTAAAAGTAAGTTGCAGCAAACATACCTTTGAATTCTTGAGCATTGTTTGTTTTGGAGAGGTTGGGTAGACACATCTTTTACCCCTTAATTATAAAACAACAGTGCACCCAGTGCAATGGCTTATGAATACTTTGATGTAAATATGGAGGGCCTTTCTACCATGTTTTCCCATTTGTCCTTCATCTTCTATCATCTTCTCCCATTTGTCCTTCTGGCCTGACATGATGATACAAATGAACAAGCTACTGCAGGGTGTCTTTTCATCATCTTTGTTGGTTTTGTTTCCAGTGTGGAGACATGATTGGTAAAGTTTCCTGGTTTGAGCGCTTCTGGGCAACAAGTAAAGAAAGGACTGTTTTGTCTTTCAGGTTCTGGGAAGATGGGAAGGTTCTCATATTTGATGACTCTTTTGAACATGAAGTGTGGCAGGATGCCAATGCTTATCGCCTGATATTTATTGTGGATGTCTGGCATCCAGAGTTAACAGCCCAGCAGCGACGTGCCCTTCCTGCCATTTAAGTGTGCTTGAAGCTTTCCACTTTAAGGGCCATGTTTCTGCTGGGAAATGCTGGCCTTAAGGACAACCGAAAGAACAAACTATCTGAACAAATCTGTGTGCAGATTTTAAAACATACTACTCTGTTTATTATACTATTACAGCACTGATCCGATAGCTCTGTATTCATGCTGCAAGTACAGATCCTACTCTTCTATCAGCCAAAGAACAACTTGTGCCATATATATATATTAAGTAAGACATATGCCAGTCTTCTGTTCTGCCTGCTTTATGTGTACCACTATTCGGCATACACCTGTTGTAGACATTAAGCTACAAAAGCTGTGTTAAACATGAGAGACACAGACTTTCAGATGCTATAACGTGCAATATCTGTTCATTTAAAAGATGGTTGTGCAGCAGCAATGCCTGATGGAGTGCATCTCCATCAATGCTTTCATATCCATCTTTGTAAGGAAATTCATAAACACTTAAAGGAAGTCAACTGGGACATTTGTCACACTATGTCTAGTAATCCATTTAGATTTAAGTCTATGAACTTACAGTGTGAGCTGTAGATAATGTGTGCAGATGATTTTATATTGTATTTTTAATAGATAATTGTATTTTTCTATCATATGTATGCCCCCTTTTTGTTCTTTATGAACCACTTTCCTTTTGTATTTTTCTTTTAACTTTTTGTTGCTGTTAAATGGCAACTTACATTAATTTAGCAGCAATGAAGCCTTATAGGAGCTCTTCATTTTTCTGAGCATGCTTTCTCCTTCGAAGTGGAAGATAAATACACATTCCTGTGTTCTGTTCTTGTTTGTTTATAACCCAACATTGTCATCTGCCTTAATTTGTAACACAGAAAGGTTCTTTAAGCCTTGCTGAGGCTTACTGGAGGCTTTTTGCTGTATGCATTTTTACCCCCTTGTTTTATAGAGACTTTTTAAAAAGTCTTTCATTGAAATAGGAATCATTCACATTCTGATTTGGGGGTTGTTCTGGAAACAGTTTTACTTTCCATCTGTTATGGCATTTACATTCACCTATGGCCAGTTTCATAATTTTCATAAGTGGTGGAGAAAACAAACTTGGTGGATGCAGTGCCATAGGGGTAAGCTGTTTTGTGTGAAGTGGCACCCACAGGGTTATGGTTTGATCCATCTAGTGAAAAAAGTGGGGACTGATCTCCCATTCCTATTTCGTGAAAGCAAGTGTAGTTTGCGTGATGTACTGTTTTCAATCCATGAGTGCCAAGCTCTTTGCCTTCACACTTTTGGTGCCATGAGATCCACTGCCCAGAAAGATACTATTCAATTTCCTCTTTGAAATAAAGAAATAGGACAATCATGTTGGTGAACAATCATGCATCCAAACTGCATTGGTTTGCTTGTCTGAATTAGGTCAAGCGATACAGTTTGTACCTGTGAGCAATTCAGTATTCATGACCAAAATGTATGTGATCATTATGATTTCATGCAGAACAAAGTGCAAAAATACACATTGGAACTGTACTTTTGAAGTACACAGATAAAGTACTGAGATACTGTTAAGCTGATGTGAGGAAAACTGCTATTGGGTTATCTGTCTAATGTTTTTGAATAGTAGAACATAGCATGTGCAGTGTCTCATAAAGACAGAACCTGTGGCCTTTTTAGTTTCTTTGAATGGAGAGAATTCCTATGTAAATGTTTATAAATACCTGCTATTTCTTCACCTTTCTAAGTGCAGATTGAAGACCAAAAATGAAAGTGTGAACAGGTATGTGCAGTTGCATATGACAGGTATGTATTGTTGCATATCATGAGTCCTATTTTCCCATAGTATTAATTAGTTCTGCACTACTTTATCTAGGTTTTGCCTGAGAACAAGTACTTTGATGTATCAGGGTCTGTGACTGGCAAATAGAATAAAGCAAATCTACCCTAAATGTGCACCCACTGGTATATTGTTGTCTATTATGTGGTATGGTATTTTATATTATTCATTAAACTTAAGCGCGTTCAATGTAGGACTGTGGGTTTTATTAAAGGAGCACAGCAGTGAGTAAAAAAGAAAAAGAGCAGGTTCCACCATTACAATCCTCTAAGTTCCAGAGCGTATGAAAAGGACACCTATTTAACTAATAATGTGAAACTGGGCAACCATGAACTATCTGATGTGGTCCATGCTTTTGCAAAATGTTTCAAGAAATCTGATAAAACTGCCACAGATGCAGCAAATAAATAGTGTTGAAAATTGTCCCATTTGTACATTTCATTCCAAGCTGCAGATGGCATATCATGTATTTCTTTCATGTTTAGAGGAAAACTACTGATATATTTTATTCAAGCTTGTTGAAAAGATGTGCTTTTCAATGGTTTAGTTAAGTTCTGAGCAGAAGTTCTAAAGATTTTCCTGTCCTCTGAAAGCTTATGATAAAGTATGCTTACAATCACTAGAATATTGCCCAGTATGCCAGAGTTTTGATAGGAATCCGTTATTCCTGTCTGTCTTTCAGCAACAGGGGAGAGGTAACAGAAAACGTTCAACTAAGATGAAAATGAGGTGATTGGAAGGCTGAGGAAATTGCTTTTATGGATTGATAGATCACTGATGAAAGGGTGGTGGACAGAGAGGGAAAGGAATAAGGCTTTTTTTTTTTTTTAACAGAATGGGATATATCTATTCAGTTACACACATGTACCCAGCAATGGTGTGCCAGTTTGTGGGCTTCAGAATCATTCCTTAGATAGGTAATACTACAGAGCTGCTGTATCAGTATTGTCCTAGCAATAACACTTGCAAGGATCTGTAATAAAGTGCATGAAGCAGACTTTTGGGAATGAAGACAATATTCACAGGAGGGGTCATCCATTTCTTAAAGGCAGAGTAGAAAGAAGAGCCCTTTGTTGTTTGCTGGCTGTTATTGTTAAAATGGGTGGCTGTTGCATACTCAAATCGATAGCTTAATTCCTATGACACTGTCTGCTCTAAATGGATGCCAGGCCATTCTGAATCTCTCTTTTGGCAGGATCCTGAGCACCAGTAGTGACATGGAAGAGATGTGTCTCTGTGGAAGGAGCAGGTGCATAGACTTGTACATGCATGTATTAGCCCAGATTCATTTCTCCTTATCTATGCTTCTGATGTAGTGGTGGAAAGGCTGGAAGTCTCCCCAGTGAAAGTTTGCCTTGTTGTGCACTAGATTTGCACTGCTGGCAAGGTTTCAAAGGCTGATTTTCATTAATTGTAGTTGCTGGTATATAACAACCTTATATGCATCCCTGCAAATTGCAAAATATGCAAATTATATACAACTCACCTTGACCTTTCCTAGTTATTGCTGGGTTACCATTCTTTGTGGAGATGGTAATGGAAGAAGCATTTTAAAAAGTGGCATACACTACTAATCATACTGCTGGAAGGAACCTTAGGTGTAGTTTTTCTCCTGGCAACAGCTAGCTAGATTCCTATGAAAGAAAAGTTTAATTTCAAATTCCTCTCTTATCTTTTTGGATGCATGACAATTCACACACAGTACTATTTAATTCTATTTATTACCTATCCTGAAATTGCTACCTTGGATGTTTGTGGAGACTTTTCCATAATACTTTTTAAATATTCATCAACTACTGAAAGTACTTGCACAAATCTTTAGCTAAGCTTTTAATACTTGGTGCAGTATTTCTCAAGATTTACAATGCATTATTTTAGTCATAGCTTCTAGAAGGTAGAAAGTCCATGATGTTAAAAGTGAAAGTGAAATACAATATATTTTGCATTAAATGTGCATTATAGAAACTATTTGTTCTTGATAATTATTAGCATTTTAATTGTTCATCCCGTTAAGAAAGGGTTAGCAAACAAATTTAGGTTCTAATTAGCAACAGTAGCTGTCCAGTATGAGCTTATGGAATAAATGGAGACCCTGTATTTCTCTAAGGAAAAGTAAAGGCTTGATTTAAACATTACTGGTTAAATATTTATTTCAAGGAGAATAGAAATTATAGCTGAATTATACTGTACTTTCAGCATCTCTGTACACACTTAAAAGGTAAAGGTTTCCCCTTGACATTAAGTCCAGTCATGCCTGACTCTAGGGGGCGGTGCTCATCTCCGTTTCCTAGCCAAGGGAGCCAGTGTTTGTCCACAGACAGTCTCCGTGGTCATGTGGCCAGCATGACTAAACTCCGAAGTGCACGGAATGCTGTTACCTGCCCACCGAAGTGGTACCTTTTTATCTACTTGCATTTGCATGCTTTCAAACTGCAAGGTTGGCAGGAGCTGAGACGGAGCAATGGGAACTCACCCCATTGTGCAGATTCGAACCGGCAACCTTTTGATCAACCAGCCCAGCAGCACAGCAGTTTAAACCATTGCGCCACCTGCAGTCCCTTAGCTGTACACAAAATATTAAACAGATCCTGAAAGATACCCTTAAAATAGAAACATGACCATAGCACACCATGGTTTGAATCATTACACAGGACCATGGCTGAAAGAATTATGCCATTGCTTCTGAGTATCACCTAAGAGTTCCATAGCCCTCACTAAAACAGCAAGTTACTCTCTCTATGCATATGCCTTAAATGCACTGGTTGTCTCAGGATTGCTAACTGGCCATTATGGTTGTAAAATGTGACTAAAATGTTTCCAGCCACTGGAGAAAATAAAGCCACAGCAAAAACAATTTTATCACAGCATATGTTTTATTATCTATTTTCATTTCAATATGGGAATGGGGTTTGTTTCCACAGGTCGAGCAAAGTCAGGAATAACAAACTGATCTTTGGCATTTCAGTTTTACATTTTTCTGTTCTTGCACAGTTCCTTCTAATAGAAACATATTGAATAATTCATCCCAAGTTTTCCCTTTCCATTCAAAGCATGGCCCATATCTGCAGTCAGCCAGGCCCCTCTGGCTACACCTTAAACTGATTGCAGAAAGAAGATGGTTAAACGGTTCTGCTGAGCTTTCATTTGCTGAAGTTGCCAAAATGAAAGGATCCAAAGTAGAACATTAATCAACTGCGTGCTTCCACTGAGCTCAGACACCCTTTTGTCTTATCATGGCCAACCACATCTACTCCACATACTTGTGGTGTGGGGGGGTGGGGTAGAACCTACATGGTTAAAACTTAAAAAAATCACTTTCCAAATTGCCTGAGTCTGTTTCCCACTCTGCTCATTGCATCAAGTTGACAGTTTATAAGCACCTTCATAAGTTAAGAATAATTTTTGCAAGGGGACTGGACTTGGTGATTACTGTGAAGAACTGAGGTGATAAGTTCACATACTGCAGAGCTCAACAATTTTCTGCTGGTGATCGTTTAGCACATTTTTTGAACTGAAAAATGAAAAGAAAAACCCAAGAAAGAAAGATAGGAAGAAGGATCTTATGTTAGGACATAATGTAATTATGGAACCTAGAGCCCTCCAGACATGTTCAATTATGCTGCCCATTATCCCTGGCTAATCTAGCTAGTGGGTGGACATTATGGGAAATCTAGTCCAAGAGATTTGGATTGCCGTGAGATGGCTAAGGCTGATGTAAGGAGTTGAAAGAATAACCTCTGCACTGTAAACTAAGTTAAGCTTCTTACTGCAATCTTAAAATTCAAAATGTCTTTGCTTCATTTTTTTATTTTTTAAATTTATTTTTGTTGTACATCCTCTACATTTTATTTTACCAAAACTGGATAATAGTCTTGCTTAAACAATATGGGAATATCTCAACCAATACATCTTAGATGTCGATTTTAGAAAGTACTCGCTCGTGTTTCAGTCACTGTTAATAACATACATCATAAAAGAAAGGAAAAGGCTCTTTGTTGTACAATCAGACTCATTAGCTTCTGGACCACAAGGAATCTTCCCTTTGGTTTTGGCCACATGGACATATGGGTGGTGATGATCATTACTTGCTCTGCAGAGATGATGAGCCTGGCGTTCAAGCTGAATGTGCTAATTCATATTAAAACTGTCTCTTGTTCCATAGGCTTCTTGCACCACTGAAGTCTGATGATGCATTTGTGTGTCACTGCTTATTTCAAACTCAGTCTAGGGCCAGTAGTGGCTGGGTGTTCTCATTCTCACTCTGTTCCTCATGTTTCAGTGTTCCAGGTTCCACCACCGACTGTGACCTGAAATAAAGCATACCTTTTAACAATGCTTTGACATTTAAAAAGGTATTCTACTGTTTGTTTTTCCTGGGATCCAGTTACCATCTTACTCAAAAGTAAGCATAGGGGACATGGCCAAGGTCCAAACTCTAACCTGGTAGGCTGGAAATGTTAAGTTTTTGCAGAGTGCTGAAGTCTCAGTCCAAAGGTAGCAGGGACTGCTGCACACTTCCACTATGCATTGTCCAAAAAGGTATACTTGCTTCAACAGATCATCTTTTAGCCATATGAATTGCAGGCAAGACCCTTCCCTCTATCTATATTGGAATTGCAGTGAGGACAAAGCATTAAACCTCCTCTCACTCACTGTAGCACAGAATGGGTCCCCCATATGTTAAATAAGGAGCGGGGACATTTCTCTGTTGCTTAATCTATGGATCTACAAATCTAAGACAGTATTGATTTCTTGATAGCATCTCCAGAATTGTTTTAATGTTAGCTGTGGTTTGGTATTTTGTACACTTGTACATTTTGATTTGTTATTTGCATAGCCAACATTTCTGAGCAGGGGTTCTCTCACACCCGCTGGCCTCCATTTTTGAGGCCTCATGGAGAACGGGTGAAGTTCCAGAGGACTGGAGGGTGGCATCAGTGGTCCCAATTTTCAAAAAGGGTAGTAGAAGGGACATGGGGAATTATTGACCAGTTAGCCTTATGTCCATTGTAGGAAAAACAATGGAAAGGCTCATAATAGAGAGAGATCTAGTGATGCTAGATAGGGAAGGGAGGCTGACAGCCACGCAACACAGCTTCCGCAAAAACAGGTCCTGCCAGACAAACCTTGTGGAATTCTATGACAAGGTTTCGCGATGGCTAGATGGAGGGGATGCAGTGGATGTGGTATACCTGGATTTCAGCAAGGCCTTTGACAAAGTGCCCCCTGATATCCTGGTGGAGAAACTGAGGAGTTTTGGGATACACCAAAGCACTGTCCAGTGGATTAGGGCATGGTTGACTGACCGAAAGCAGAAGGTAACCATTAGCGGGGAATCATCGGGATGGCAGCCAGTGACAAGTGGGGTCCCCCAGAGCTCTCTCCTGGGGCCGATCCTATTTAATCTTTTCATTAATGACATGGAAGAAGGGGTGAACAGTCTGCTGATCAAATTCGCAGACGACACTAAAACTGGAGCAGTGGCCACAACTGAGGAGCAGGTACTTCAGATCCAAAAGGATCTGGACAGACTATGGAAGTGAGCAGGAGACAACAGGATGGCATTCAGTGTGGATAAGGGCAAGGTGGTCTTGCACTTGGGGCATAGGAATAGCTGTCATGAGTACAGGTTAGGGGACAAGTGGCTGGAGAGCAGCACTTGTGAAAGGGACCTCAGGGTACTGGTTGACTGCAGGCTAAACACGAGTCAGCAGTGTGATGCAGTGGTCAAGAGGGCGAACACCACCCTTTGTTGCATAGCCAGAAGTGTGGCTTCTAGATCAAGAGAGGTATTACTACCACTCTATATGACTCTGGTGTGCCCACAACTGGAGTATTGTGCTCAGTTTTGGGCCCCTCATTACAGAAAGAATATAGGCAGGTTAGAGTCAGTGCAGCGTAGGGCCACAAGGTTGGTGGCCGGCTTGCAGGGGATGGGGAATGAGGTGAGACTGAGGGAACTGGGTCTCTTCAGCTTGGAGGAGAGAAGAGGAGACTCAGAGGGGATATGTTGGCAACATACAGGTATGTGAGGGGATGTCACGTGGAGATGGGTAGAGACCTGTTCTCTGCAGAGGAAGGCAGGACGTGCTTCAATGGAGCAAAGCTCAGGGAGCCAAGGTTCCATTTGGATGCCAGGAAGCATTTCCTGACAGTTAGGACCCTGAGGGTGTGGATGGGCTTCCACGAGAGGTCATTGAGGCCCCATCGGTGTGGGTGTTCAAGGATAGGCTGGACGTGCCCATGGTGGGCATGTCGTGAGCGGAGCCGGCTGGTGCCGGAGATCAGACTAGATGGCCCAGGAGGCCCCTTCTGACTTGCTCTGTTTCTATGTTTCAGATATTCCATGTGGTAGGAAGTCTTCTGTCAGGTCCATCTTTGGATCTGAGGAGATTCTAGATAAATCATTCTCCAGTGGTGCCTCTCCTTCATAGATGGTATCTCGAAGGCTTACCTTCGTAGTGGGACCAGCATGCTTCTGAATTTCACCACCTTTTCAAGATGCCACAGTATATGGTCTGGGTAACTGAAATGTCAGCTCCAATGCTGAGCAGAGTACCCACAAATGTTAAATTTGATGAGAGTTAAAGTTGCATGGCTTTACTAAGGGCAAAAATAAGTGCATTGAGGAATAGGTCTGTTCTTGGCTATTGGTCATAGTAGTTAAATACTGAATACATGGAAGAGGGGAAGTTTAAGGATATCCATTGCCTTCTTGCATTTCTAGTGGACTGGGCTTCCATAAAGCATCTGGTTACTGGACTACATGGGCCTTTGGTCTGACCTAAATGGACTGCTTTTATGTTCTAACAGGATGGAATTGGATTGAAACTTCTCCCTGTGGTTTCTTCCCCATACCATTCTGCAATCACTGCTCATTGGGTGGCACTGCCAGAGTACTTTGAGTGTTTCCATGCTGAGGCTCTAGGAAGAGCCCACGTGATGAACCATACCACCTGTCAACTGCAGAAGTAGCAGCTTGTAGAAGCCACGACACTGGCCGAGTTTCATGCCAGGTCCACATATTAAGTATAGTATGTACAGAAGTACGTTAAGTAGAGTGTGTACAAAACACCTTACAGAATATCTGATCACTTCATGGGAGGTGTTCCAATGCTTTTAGATCTGAAAACAAGAGAAGACTGTAGGATTGATGCTACATCTTCCCCTATAACATACAGTGACTCTTTCCTCTCCTACTCTGGTCAGTAGACCAGACCCTACTATTGCACTGTAGACATTCATCACATTAACATCATGGCAAAATCAGACACACCTTCTGAGCTTCCCCTAACCCAAACATACTGAGGAGCAATTTTGGCTACACTGTAACTGTCCAAAATATAAGAGGCACTATGCCCTACTATTGAAGGCTTTGGTGGCCATAACTGTGTGACAGAGGCTATCAAGCAGACTATATACCTTACTACTGAAGACTTCACTAGAGCCAGTAGCCTGACAGGTGCTATCAAATTCAGAATGTATATGATACTTTCCTAGAGGACCTACTGCTCACTGACACAATTTGCTATATTTTCACTAAGGCACATTCCTCTACATGTTTCTGCAGTGGTGCAATTTCTTTAAAGAGTATTTAGGAACATAAGAACTGTATTGCAAGATCAGACCAAAATCCTTTTCAGCAACTAGTTGAACATGTTGATTATGCCCATTTGGTACTTGGAGGTGTACTGTTTCTGCCAATGAACATTTCCTTGGTTATCATGACTAATTGATACTGTCAGACTTCATTTTCTAAGAAAAAAATTACAGAATCTTGTAATACCTTAAAGATTAACATAGTTATTATAGAAAAGGCTTTCATAAACTCCAGAGTTACCATTATCAGATGAAGCAAAATCAGTTTCAAAAAACCTGATGCTGAACTAAATCCACTAGCAAATGGTTGAGTAACCCCTGCCTTGAGGATACTTCCCCACCTTACCTTTGAGCAGACATGTTGCTCATGCTTACTTCTGAGTAGAAATAAGCCACCTCCTGTTATAGATTGGTAAGCATGGAATTGAAAGGGGATTGGGTTTCTTATTTCAGCTCACTCATTTTGTTCCCGGTAGCTCTTCCCACCACTGATGCACCTGCCCAAATGTTTCATACAAATGCAATCTGGGCCACAGGCTGAAAAAAGTTCACTGCCCCAGCCTTTAAGGTGCCACAAAACATTTTTTTTTCATGCAAAAGGTTAACACATTTATCCAACCAAAGCATTTTTATACTGTCTTATCCCTTCAGGCATGCACTCCCCTGCTGACTGATGATGTAGTAGCTTGACAGTTTGCATGCTGTATTTGATTGCACCAATACAACATTTTTGAATAAGAGATCCCTTTACTACCCTGCGTAAGTAATTCAGGAGCCTAGAAATCTGGCCCATTATGGTTATGTTTTCACAACACCTTTGAAATATTTTTATTTCCTCAGAGATCATAAAGGAAAACCTACATTTTTGGGTTGAGGGGAGTGGGTGGTTGGAGAAGGGTGCCTTAAATATACAGACTGGTGTCACCATCTGCACTGGATTTCTCTGACTGCATCTCCTGGCCCCAGTATCTTCAAACTGCTTTTAAAACTGTCCTTGGATCCAAATGGGCTTTAGAGATTTGGCTTCTGAATTTATCCAAAGAAAAACTCTGTAAGTGCACACAGGCACTATTCTCCCACTCCAAAATTTGAAGCAGTCTGGGTCACAAAAGGGAAAAAAGTAATGTGGAATGGTTGTTAAATCTGAGCACTGTAATATTATTAATGTGCCACTTTAGAGTTTGGGTAATTTTGCAGCAATAACCAAACACTGTGTTCCAAATCCACTGTGGGATTTACCACACATATTTGAGTTAATATTAGGTAGTGATTCATTCATGTTGAATACCATTTAAGCATTAGCTAGATTTAGAAAGTACCAATTATGTCTCTCATAAAAATCACCAGCAGTTACTTCAACAACACTGCAGTGTAAAAATAGAACAGCTAACCAGAACACCGATGGGAACAATGTTCTCTTTTCTTGAAACTATTAATCTAAAAAAAGGGGGGATTAGGAAATGAGTTCTAGCTGGTTGCAAACCCTGTTGTTTTCTTTCCAAGAGCAAGTATTCTCTACAGAGAAAATAAAAAGCATCTTTCTCTTTCCAGGAAGGCAAGATGCCTGTACCATGCACAATGAATTGAGGACACATAGAGCTTCTTGAAAACTTGTTTAAAAGGGAAAGAATCAGGTCTGAACCGGAGAAAGAAACATTCTGATTCCAGCTCATATGTGAATGCAGCTTGGAGGAGTAGAGCAAAAGAT